CACTATCAATACAGCAACCTGCTCCTGACATCTCTTCACAAAGAGTGTATGATCAGACTGACATTGTTTGAATCCCATCTCTTGAACTGCCATGTAAAACTTACTGAACCAAGCTGTGGGAGACTATTTTAAGCCATAGAGAGACTTCCGTAGCTTGCACACCTTGTTTTCACTTCCCTTGGCACATAATCTAAGAGGTTGAACCATGTATACCTCTTCTTCTAAGTCACCATTCAGGAAAGCATTCTTTATGTCCAGTTGATGCAATTCCCAGTCAAAGTTAGCAGCTAAGTACAGGAGAACCCTAATAGAGTTCATCTTAGCCACTGGGGAAAAAGTCTTATCATAGTCAACCCCATATACTTGTATGCACCCTTTGGCTACTAGTCTTGCTTTGTACCTTTCAACTGTTCCATCTGCCTTGTGCTTAACTGTGAACACCCATTTGCACCCCACGGGGTCTTTCCCCTTTGGAGGATCCACCAATTCCCAAGTCTGATTTTTGTGGAGGGCATTAATCTCCTCCTTCATGGCATCTACCCATTCAGGGCATTTTAAGGCTTCTGCAACATTTTTGGGAACAGGGATGCAATCAACTGCCGATAGGAAGGCTCGGTACGAGGGAGAAATGTGGTCATAGGAGACAAAGTGGGTAATGGGGTGTTTGGTAGTGCAGGACCTGACTCCCTTTCGTTGGGCAATAGGGATGTCAAGGTCATCCACAGTAGGAGTAGGGTTAGGGGGTGGACTTACCTCCTGGGAGTCTGATGATGTCAGCTGCTCAGTGTTTGGCTGCTCCACATTTCTATCACACTGTTGATCTCTCCAACGTGTACGTTGGAAGACACAAAAGGGAGTAAGGTCCGGAATAGAAGGCCGAGATACCTGACCTTGCTTCTCCTCTTCCACACTACGAATAGAAGAGATACTTGACCCTGCTTCTCCTCTTCCACACTACGACTCTCCCCCTGAGGAAGAGGGAAGAATGGCTCGGACTCAAAGAAGGACACATCCATAGACACAAAAAATTTATGACTAACTGGGTCAAAGCACCGATACCCTTTTTGAGAGGAGGGGTACCCTAGAAAGACACAAGGAATGGACCAAAGGTCTAACTTACCTCGGGATGGAGACAAATCATGGACAAAGGCCCGACAACCAAAGACTCGCATGGGGATGGAAAATAAAGGAGACTGAGGGTACAATAACTGATGAGGGGCCATGTAGTTCAGTACTCTGGAGGGCATGCGGTTGATGACATACGCAGCTGCAAGTATAGCATCCACCCAAAACCTTTTTGGAACATTCATGTGTAACATCATCCCGCGGGCTACCTCAAGAAGGTGTCTGTTTTTCCTTTCTGCAACACCATTTTGCTATGGTGTTCTAGCGCATGAGCTCCTATGAATAGATCCGTGGGAGGCGAAGAACTCATTGAGCTCCCCATGGAAGTATTCCTTCGCATTATCAAATTGGAAGATTTGTATTTCAACATGGAACTGCGTAAACACCATCCTCTGGAAGTCTTTCACTATCTTTGGAACCTCGTCTCTGCTACGCATAGGAATTACCCATGTATAGCGAGAGTAATCATCGATCAATGTAATAAAGTACTTATATCCGCCCTCAGAGATTACATTGGTAGGCCCCCATACATCAGAATACACAACATGAAAAGGAACCTTTGATCTTTTATTACTTGGGTGAAAAGTTGTCCTACATTGTTTGCTCAACTGACACGTTTGACACATGAACTCTGACACTGAACATGACTTAAATAAAACTGGAAACAARSATTTTATTATTTMGAAAGAAACATGACCTAAACGACTATGCCACAAGAAAATTTGACTCTTATTTGACTGACTATGCGACTCTAAGGATGACACCGAGAGACCAGCTTTGTTGTCGAGAATGTAGAGACCATCCACTAGGCTTCCTCTACCAATCGTCCTCCCAGAAGTTAGATCCTAAAAAACACACGAGTCAGCAAAAAAAATCACACTACAATTCAAGGAGCTTGTAATGCTACTAATTGAAAGCAAGTTTATGGGAAGCTAAGGGACATGCAATACAAAATTCAGGTTAAGGCCATGGGGAAGGGATATTGATCTTTGGCCTGCAATGGAAGAAAAAGAACCATCTGCAAGTCTCACTCTATCCCTTCCTAACAAAAGGCTATAAGACTGGAATAAGTTAGGCTTACCGATCATGTGGTTGGAGGCCCTTGAGTCAATGATCCAAGGGGAATCTGTGGGAGTGACATGGAATGCAGAAGCCATATTACCTGAAGTAGATGCAAATGAAGTAGAGGGAGTACCAGTGACTGAGCTGTCCATTTGCCGCAAGGCCCTACCATAAGATTCAAGGTGCTCTCCGAATGAATTCATTATATCCTCCTTGGGGTCAGACTTATTAGGGTGGTCCCGGGTACTACTGGTAACTTGAGTATCTTGGGTTGCCACATGTGTTGTGCTCATTTTCTTCAAATGACCTTTACCCTGTTCTTGATTCTTTGCTGCCCACTTGGGTTTCCCGTGGATGTCCCAACAAGTGTCACGTGTATGTCGTGAACGCCTACAGTGGGAATAGCTTATCTTTATCATCCGCCTTCTTAGGGTCACTTTTCTTTCCTGTGGAGATATTATTCATTGCAGCCAAGGCAACTTGTTGCTCCCCCTCAGCTGTAACCATCACATTCCGCATGCTTTCTTCAAATTGGACAAGGGAGTATACCTTGTGAACCGTAGGCAACTCTTTGCTTCCTAGGATCTGCACCCTCAACGGTTCATATGCAGGGTTCAGTCCCAACAAGAAAGCAAACACCCGTTGCTGAGAGACCAGCTTCCTGTAGGCCTTAGCATCTCATCGTGCTTCCACTCTATGGCCTGATAACGGTCCAATTCCTTCCATATGGAGGTAAGGGCTGAATAGTATGAGGACAAGCTACGGTTTCCCTG